AACCGAGGCCACTCAGCCAGGTATTTCCGTAGCCTGGCCTTTTCTGGACTGGACTCTCTCTAAGGACCTCTTCCTCCTCAGCCCAGCGTCATACAAGGGCAGGGAGGCAGGCAAGAGAGGCACTTGGCAGGGCAGAAGCCAGGGAGGGGTAGAGGAGGCATGGGAATTGGGGAAACAGTACTGGACTGTGTTCCAACCCTCTTTTCTTGATGCCTGGTGCAGAAGCCTCGGCCTCCCAAGGTGGAGCTCCAAAACCTGACTCCACACCTATAAAAGGCGGTCCTTTGCCTGCATCTTAATCAACTGACTCCGCCCCTGACCTCACCCCTTAGGATGACGTTTCGACTCCGCCTCCTCTCTGAGACATGCAGACCCCACCCCTTCCGGGGGACAGGCAAGCCTAGTGCGCAACGGCATCCCTGTGACGTAATGGTAACGATCCGTTTCCGGGGTGGAGCCAGGGAGGGCGGGAGTTTAGGCTGCGCTGACCCCTCTCAGCCCCCCCTCCAGGTGACCCCAGCCTCTGAAAATCCTCACCCAGGGCCCCAAATCTCCCAGCCCCATGACCGGCAAACCTCTCGCCCAGGACCCGGAGATGACCGGCCTCCTCACCCCTTAACTTCTAGTGCTTCCCAAATCTCCAAGCCCACCCTGTTCCGCGGTGGCAACTGAGGCTTCCCGGGGGCATCAGCCTCAGATTACCTGAGAACCGGGCAGCCTCGTCCTGAGCATGACGGAGAAGGGGACCTGGGGCTAGGGAATCCCTGATTCAATCATGCCACTTCCCAGGAGACGTTCGGAGCCCAGGACATGTCGGGAATGAGGAGATACGAGGTGGCGCTGGAGGCGGAGGAGGAGTGAGTGGAGGCGGGTTCTGCGGAGGAGGAACCAGGAGGCTCCGGGGTGGGGGAGGGTGGAGTTCTGCGGGGGCGATGGGTGGGCGGGACGAGCCTCTGAGGGGCGTGGGCTGCGAACAGAGCCGCTTTTAGGGGCGGGGCGGAGCCTTCCTCGAGGGCGAGACATCGCAGGGCGGAGTCTGTGGGGTCAGCTCCGCCCCGCCCCGCCCGGCCCGGCTCTGCCCTTTCTTTGCAGGATCTACTGGGGCTGTTTCTACTTTTTCCCCTGGCTGCGCATGTGGCGGAGGGAGCGGAGGTGAGGGGGCTGCGATACCGCGAACCCGCCCCGGGCATGGACGAGGCTCAGTCTCTGAGGACCCATCGGGGGGAATCCGGTAGCTCCCGCCCCGCCTCATGCCAGTGTCGGGTCGCCCCACAGCTCGGCGCACCCCGGGGAGCAGAAGCTGGAGCCTCTGCGAGGCCTGATGAGCTGTCTGTCCAGCGGCCTGGGCCCTGCTCCCCAGCGCTCGGGTCGTGGCCTCCCCCACCGCAGCCCCGCCGCCGCTGCCCAGCCAGCCAGTGCATTAAAGATTTAAACCGAAGCCTACTGTACTGACCTCCTGACTCTGCTGCCGCTGTCGCCATTCGAGCTGAGCACTCCTCCCCACACTGGCTCTGTTCCGTACTGACAGGGCGTCCCTTCCTGAAAGGGGGCCCTTCCATCTCAAAGCCCCTCATCAGTGTCAGGCTTCCTGTTACTATCAATGACTGTCTCCCCAACCCTACTCCCCAAAAACCCATACTGTAAGTAGCCTATATGAAGAGAACTAAATAATCCTGCCTGTTACTCCCTTCCGTGGAGCCAGGACTTTGCCAACTGTCTGAAGAATCTTCTCTTCTGGAAGTGTATCTAAAACATTTTAAGAAGAGGTGTAGGATGCAGGCTGTAAATGAGAAGAGGGGGAGATTCCTAGAAGCTGCCTGTCACAGGGTAAGGACTTGGGTTTGTGACCTTTTCAATAGTTCATACCCCAACTTTTGGCTCCTCCAGTCTGATCCCAAGTTTAGAGATCCTTGGCATCAGCCTACCTAGCAGCTCTTGCTACCTCCCTAGGAGAGTCCAAAGGCCACTGCTCTCTGCTGCCCCCTTCTGTCACCCAATCAGCCTGGGACCCACTAACTCCTCAAGTGGTGAGAATCAGGGACTGCCAGGTGGGCCTGCCTTCAGTTAGGGACTGGCCCCAGCACCAGAAAGGGCAACACAAGATTAAGCTAAAGAAAGAGACAGCCCAGTTTCTGGCTGGGGCCAAAGCTGACTTTCAGCCTGGAGCTATCTCTGCTACAGCAGACTGTGGCTGGAGAGAAGACTTGGCCTTAAAGGGGAGAGATGGGAGCACACCCATAAGCATTTGCTTTCTGCCTTCCAAAGGCCTCTGGACTGATAAGTCCAGGAAAGACCAGAAAGTATGTAGCACACAGCCAACTGATGGAGAAGGTCTATGACAAACCGAGATATCTGGGAGATTTCCTTGGGATTTCCTCAGTGGCTACACCCAAGCCTTGGGGCACAAGTCTGGACTGGAGGGTGGGAGAGGGAATGTAAGGCCCCTGGTACCAAAAGTTCAAGATAAGTGACCTCTGGGCTATGGTCACCTTCAAGAAAGCACCCAAGCTCTTTCCTTACAGTGTCCACATCAAAGACCCCTTCATCCATCTCTCAGACATCTTGGGGTTTTTAAAAAAAAAAAAGGCCCTTTCAAATGTGAAGTGCCCTGTCCAGCCCTGGGCTGACCCTTCACCAGGATGTGATCAGAAAACCTGAAGATCCTGGAGAAAAACTCCAGGGAGGGACCTTCATGCCTCACCCTGGACAGAAGGGAGAAGAGGTTCGAATTTTCAGCCTGGAGGATGGCTAGTCCCTAATTTGGGAACTGAAGGCCCTCCTGATTGTTGAAGCAGCCCTGCAGCAGAAAGGGCTGCCCAAAGAAAGGCATAAGCCCTAGAGAGTGGCTGACCCTAGAGCAGGAAACTGCAATAAGACAAGGGCTGGATTAGTGCATTATGACAGCTTATTTCAAATACTGAGCAGGACTTGCAGATTGAGACCAGGAGTGGGAAATTCTTCAAGGAGCCAGGGGCACTAAACTCAGCAGCATACCCCCACCCTAAGGCAGTTCCCAGCTTCCTGGAAAGGACTGGATAAAGATGAATAGGAGCTTTGCATTGCGGGGAGTGGGGAAAGAAAGGAGTGATGGACAGGTATGGGATTAGGAGAGAAGGGGCTATAGCTGGAGGGTAGGATACAGAGGGTGTAGGAGTTGGACATGAGGGTGTTACTGAACCCAGGTAGGGAGTGGGGATGTTCCTCCAGGCCCAGGAAGGAGGCTGGAATTTGAGTAGAACAAAGATGTTCTTGAGTCTTGAGTCTAATGTCTTCAACAAGTCAGGGACTGTATCTGGAGACCTCCAGGTCCCTGCTGGCAAGAGGTTGGCATTCCTGGAACAGGACTAGGCAAAAACAGGAAGGTAAGATTTACTCGGCCTTTTACCTGTTTTGACAACAGCAACCTAGCACCAAAGAGCTTTTATCTTCTTTATCTACCCCACCTTTCCTCTCTGTCTCATCATCCTGGGGAAAGCTGCCCAACCTCAGCATCTCCAAAGCACCCTTACACTCATATACCCATAGCCACACATTCACACTCATATACCTTCCCCCAGTTTCTCTGAATGTGGCTGGCCGCAGCCAAGACACCACCTCAGCATCCACCCTGATGACGTTCCTCAGTAGCTTGTCTGAGAATGGCTTTCCAAGAAGGGCCTGCTCTAGGGACCCATTCCCATCAGTTTCTCCTGATAAGACAGGCAGGCCAGGGCAGGAAGTGGGGAGAAGATGAAGGCAAGTTGGTGCTGGCTTGTCCTCTGCTCCCACCCCACCCACAACTCCCCCATCAGAATGTGTGTGTGCTAGTGTGAATTTGCATATGATTAGATGACTGTGAAAACACAACTGGGTGGGAATGGGACTTTGAGTATAACTGGGGCTCTATAATTTTGTCTATGGTTGTCTGATCATGAGTATGACTTTGTGAGGTTGACCAAGTAATCAAGGAGTGAATATGTGGCTATGGGTATATGAGTGTGAATGTCTATCATTAGATGCCACTGTGGATGGCTGACTGCCCTTACTCACTGTTCCATCAGTCCCTATATCACACACTAATCCTTCCCCCAGCTTGGCTGCCCAGAGCTTAGGAGCCCATGGGAAATGGCAGTCCAAGATGAGGAAGGGGTCTGTGGCAACAGGCTAAGAATTAGGGCCCAGAAGTGTCACAGGATACGCAATACATCTCCAACTGCCTCTGACTCACCTAGTGCCCCAGGTAAAAGACACCCAGATAAAAGGTAGGGGAGGAGGAGGAGAAAGAAGGAAGAATCTAGGCTGAGCAGTATGAAGGGACCCTCAACCTTCTGTAGCCTCCTGCTGCTGTCACTGCTCCTGGGCCCAGACCCTAGAGCAGGTAAGTACTTGGGGATATAGAAAGCTGGGGGTCTGGGTGAATGGAATGAAGTTGAAAAGACCCAGGAAATCCAGCCAAACCTCCAGCTGTCTGGCAGAGAGGTTCTTGGTCAGGATCACTCTGAACACGTGGCCCATTGCCTTCTAGCATCGATACTGCCACCCAGCACTAGCTGCTGTACTCAGCTCTACCGAAAGCCACTCTCAGACAAGCTACTGAGGAAGGTCATCCGGGTGGAACTGCAGGAGGCTGATGGGGACTGTCACCTCCAGGCTTTCATGTAAGCTCCCACCCCTGATACCCCTGACTCTAACCTCAGTCCCAATCCCTAATGCTGATCCTAACCCCAACCCTAACTGCTAATTCTGATGCCAACTCAGGTTTTCATCTGGTCCTTGCTCCTAACCCCTGGACACTAATCTCATCCCCAAGCTATGGTCACAGCTTTGGACCTTTCTTTACCCAGACTTCACCTGGCTCGACGCAGCGTCTGCATCCACCCCCAGAATCGCAGCCTGTCTCGGTGGTTTGAGCACCAAGAGAGAAGGCTCTAGAGGACTCTGCCAAACCTAAACCTAGGGAGAATGGGCTGAAGCCCCCAGTAGCAAAAATAATAAAGCAACATTGGATGATAATCTCTAAGTATAATCTCCAAGAACTTCCTTATTCTCTTTATTCACACCTGCACAATCCCTGAAATGGGAAAGGCCAACAGTCAAGGACCCACACACACTCCCCAGGCACCTATATACATGCATGCAGAGAATACATGTTCCCTGCCTCACAGACACATGGTCACACATGGACACAGGCGTATACATTACACACGTTCCTTGAGCAGAACTCCAACTCTGGGGTGAAATCAGAGGTATAGGCAACTTTCAGCTGGCAATTTGAAATATAGGGTCTCAAAGAAATGGGCTCCAAACAGAACTTCCAGCTGATTCCCCAACCATAGTGATCTACTGTCCTGCCTGGGTTCTATCTGTCCATCCATCCACACCAGCAAGACAGAATTATAGATGGAATCCGCCGAAACCCTCCTGGGTCCTCTACAGGTTTGGAACTCCTAGAAGAAGCAGGAGGCAAATCAGGAGACACAGTAGGATTAGACCTTGGCCCAGATACCCTGAGAATGAGGGAGGTGACTCAGTTATAAGCTCAATACTCTGAAGATGAGTAGAGGAGCCCAGCTCTGAGAGAGCCTCTTCAACACCCTGAAGATAAGGGAATGGACCTAGAAGCAAATCAAGAATGAGGGAGGGGACGCTGGGGTATGGTGGCTCACACCTGTAATCCCAGCACTTTGGGAGGCCAAGGTGGTCTGATCACGAGGTCAAGAGATTGAGACCATCCTGGCCAACATGGTGAAACCCCATCTCTACTAAAAATACAAAAATTAGCTGGGCCTGGTGGCGCACGCTTGTAGTCCCAGCTACTCAGGAGGCTGAGACAGGAGAATTGCTTGAACCCAGGAGGCGGTGGTTGCAGTGAGCAGAGATCATGACACTAAATTCCTGGACAGCAGAGCAAGACTCCGTCTCAAAAGGAAAAAAAAAGAATGAGGGAAGGGACCCAGCACTGATCCAAGACACCTAGGAAAAAAAGGATGAATATCCAGCTCAGAGTCTAATACCCTGGAAGAGTATTAATACTAATGCCCTGGAGGGGAGTCCATCTAGGGTCCTCAGTACCCTGAGAGAAGGCGAAAAGACACACTTCTGAGGCCAGGGACTCAAGAATGAAAGGCCCAGCTCTCAGCCTAGACATCATTAAAATAAAGAGACCCAACTTGGATTCCCAGCATGTTTAAAATGACTAGGGCAGCCAGCTCTTAATCTGGACATTCAAAATAGGGGCATACATCTCCAAGTCCAAATCTCCTGGATGTCCTACCCACCTGGACGCCTGTCCACTGGAATCATTGGGGCTAAGAACCCAGGCTTCGGGGATCCATCCTTCCCGCTTTGTCTCAGCCTCAGCCTGGGGCATAGAAAGGCAGCTGTCTCTCCAACAATGTGGGGTATCTCAGTCTCCTCCAAAGGGTTTATTAGTGAAGGGTCAGGAGAGGAATCAGTTATAATCAGGTGAGGCATGGGGGATGGAGGTGTGGGGAGGTAGTTCCAGAATCAGATAGGTCCAGTGGGCAGTCATGAAGGGTGGAGATGAACGTGGTCTATGGGCATCAGAGCATTTGTGAGGATCAGAGGCTGAAGGATCAATGGCAGTCACTTACCAGAGCCCCAGTGCCAAGGCCCCAGCTACCAGTCCTAGGAAAGAAAGGACTCCCAAAGATGCCAGCACAGCTACCTGCTCTGTAGAGTCCCTGTGATCTGAGGGGGAGGGCCACATGTCACTGAGAGCAAGCCTGACCAAGCTCAGTGTCCCCTTTTCTCCGGGGTTTTCAGTCCTTTACACCTCTTGCCCATCTGCCCAAGCTCACCAAGTAGCTGAGGGTGTGGCTGAAGGGAGGGTCTTGGAGGAGCAGGGCTGTCCTCCTGAGGCTCCACCTCTGGCTGTGTGTGTAGCTGGTCCCCAGCTGGTACCTCCTTTGGTATAGTCCCTAAAGGAAGGCAAGTGTCCACACACTGGTGGGGGTGGGGCCCATGTCCTGCACTCAAGGCCAAGGCATAGGTTGGAAGTTAGGGTGCCTAGAAGGAGGAGACTGAAAGGGCATGGCCAGCTCCTAGGGAGCATGGCAAGCTCCAAGCTTGCAGAAGTGGAGCCTGTAACTGTAGGGGCAGAGGCCAAGGGGCAGGACTTAAGCTAAGACAGGGATGTAGGCAACCAAGGATAAAGCCTGGGACAGCAAAAGCGGTGCCTGCATGGGCAGTGCATGTGCCACCTGGCTGTCTTTGGAATCGGTTCAGCTAACTGATGTTTTGGGATGGGGCCTCTGCCCTTTTCTTTGGCTTTGTCTCTCACCAGTGCTCGGAGTTCCCCAGGCCTCAGGGCTCCAGGTGCTCCAGGTGCCAGCGTCCAGAAAGTCCCGGGCACTGACTCGTACGGCATGGGGCAGCCCAGCCACAGCATCTGTGATCACTTCCTCCAGTCCAGCTGGCTCCACCTGGGGGTGAACATGGCTCATTGTTACCCAGCTTGTAAGTGCAGGGCCTACCTAGCCACGATCTGCAAAGAGCACCCCTTGCTTCAAGTCCTGTCCTAAAGCCTAGTGTAGCTGTCTAGGCCTCATGTTGGGTGTCTGGTGGGGTTGGGTCTACACCTAGTATTTGTAAGACGGCCGTAGTGATTACTTAAAGAGGCTGTGGCATCAGGCAGCCTGGGTTTAAATCTTTTCTGAACCAGATATTGAATGACCCTTTGGGCTTCTCTATGACTCAGTTTCTTCATGTGTAAAATCGGGGTGGATATACTTAAAATAATGTATGCAAAAAGTGTAGCCAGGTATCCCACAGGCAGGCAGCACTAAGTAAATATTAGTTATTATCTGATACTGCTGCTCCCCAGGCCTGATACCAGCCAATCTTTAAGATCTCCTGAGATACAAATTCACTGCTAACCTCAGCTAAGAATATGAGTGTTTGCAGGAATGTGCCTCTAGGTGAAAGGTACTCCTTTTCCTAAGAGTTATTTTTTTAAAGCCATTGCTGTCTTCCCACGGATGGGCTTTACATCATAGTTACAGCCCCACAGGACAGATACTCAGCCTGTCAGTCACCACTGCAACCCAGCACCAAGCCTGGCCCACAGGGAAGCACTGGGTCTTCAATGACCTGCCAGAACTGGGAAGCTACACAGAACACTCAGGATCATGAAATCAGAGACAGGACCCACAGCCATGGGTTGGGACGCATTCCAGGCCTCACCATGGACCAGGCTGGATGCTGCGCCGGACGGTACTGCAGCCGGAACTTGAGCAGGAAGTGAGGCTGGCGGGGCCAGGAGGCAGGGTATGTCCAGCTGGCTCTCAGGCGTCGGGGGTAACCTGGTACCGACTCTACCTGCAGGCCCTGGGGTGGGTCAGGGCGCACTGAGGGCATCAAGACACAAAGTCAGGGTAGACTATGGGTCTCCATCACTTCCTCACCACTTCCCAAGGTGTGTATTTAAAGGAGCCTTAGCCGAACACTCCTGAGAGGGGAGGGGAAATCTTAAACTTGATCACCTATTAGGCTCAGACGGGTCATCTGTATTATGAAATGGGCTGAGGCTGGGTGTGCTGGCTCACGCCTGTAATCCCAGCACTTTGGAAGGCTGAGGCGGGAGGATTGCTTGATGCCAGGAGTTTGAGACCAGCATGGGCAACACAACAAAACCCTGTCTCTGCAAAAAAATTTAAAAATTAGCAAGACATGGTGGCAAGTGCCTATAATGCCAGCTTCTTGAGAGGCTGAGGTGAGGGGATAGCTCGAGCCCAGGAGTTGGAGGCTGCAGTGAACCAAGATCACACCACTGCACTTTATCCAGCTTGGGCACAAAGTGAGACCCTATCTCAACAGAAAAAGGAAAAAAGAAACCAGCTGAGATCTGTGGGTGGGCTTTTGAAATGTCTGTTGAGTGAATAAAAGAGCAATTCTTCTTTTCATCCATGGAAGGTGAGTTGGCCCAAATTCCAGCTAGAGTTTTAGTGTCCCATTCCCACTCACAGACCAAGGAAGGAGGGGCCAGCAAGGGAGGACATAACCTAAAGCTACATTCAGTACAGGGCCCAGGGTAGGGAGTCGGCCCTGAGGCTAGGCAGCCACAGGCAGTGTGAGCAGCAGCAGCCTCTAGAGTGTGTGCTGTGTGGTAGTGGAGAGATCTAAGTCCATTTTGGGGTCTCTGTGATGGGGGTCTGGGGAAGGTCTACAGGTGGGTACTCACAGATGCTCTGCAAGCTCACATCCAGCAGGCGTGTGCTGGCACCCAGTGGGTTCATCTCAGTCACATTAATTCGGTACTGGCTCCAGAACTCAGCCCCATGGACCACACAGCGGGCAGCCCCTAGGGGGTCCTGTGGGCATGGCCAGGGCCCTGGAGATGGACTCCTCCTAGAAGGGAGGACATGGTCTTGGGCTTTGAAAATACCTATTGTGGGACCCAGCTGGAGCCCCGACACGCTCCCTTATGTCCTACCTCTGGCTATCAGCTCCTAGGACTGTCTTCTTCCTGGTGAAAAGGGGGCCATCTGAAGTCAAGAAGGAAAAGAGGGCCTTCTGCCCTCTCTGTGGTTTTCCTCAGAACCTACCTCCCTGCCTCCCACACCCACATTATACCAGCATAACCAAATGTGTAGGCATCCACACCCGATCACACACACACCTGTAGGAGGTGAGGTAGCGGGTGGGTAAACCACTGATCTGGCTGGGACTCCAAGTGCAAGAGAAGTTCTCGTAGTCGGCTGCTTGGCAGGAGACAACAGGGCGGGCTGGGGGGTCTAAAGGCAGAGGGTACAGCTGGAGACTGAGCAGTACTCAGGTCTTCCTGGTCCCAGAGGGCTTACTCAGGTCCCATACTCCCTCAGGATCCCCATGTACCATCACTGCCATCCCCCCCAACTCACAGCCCAGCTGCAGGATCACTGTGCCCCCAAGGGTACCATCCAGGGTCCGGCAGATGTAGGTGCCCTCATCAGTGCTGTCTGCCTGGGCCAGGACCAGTTCATGCCCTAGCCCAGAGTCAGGTCCCTGGAGCAGCCTTGGCTCCCCATCCCGAAACCAGGATACTGGGTCCCTGAAAGTAAGATGAGGTGACGACGGACAAACACAAGATATCAAGCATAAATCAAACAATGCCACTGTTCTCTATTGGCTTGTTTTTTGATACAGAGTCTCACTTTGTCGCCAGGCTAGAGTACAGTGGTGCGATCTCAGCCCACCGCAACCACTGACTCCCTGGTTCAAGCGATTCTCCTGCCTCAGCCTCCCAAGTAGCTGAGACTACAGGCAAACATCACCACACCCAGCTAATTTTTGTATTTTTAGTAGAGATGGGGTTTCACCATGTGGCCAGGATGGTCTAAATTTCCTGACCTTGTGATCCGCCCACCTCGATCTCCCAAAGTGCTGGGATTACAGGCGTGAGCCACCATGCCCAGCCTCCATTGGCTTCTAACTGCATTTACAATAGAACCCAAATTCCTTTTATTGGCTTTCAAAGCTCCTTGTGAGCTAGCCCTTGCCTTCCTTTCCCTCTTCACCTCCTATCTCTCTCCTGCTCACCCACTGCACTCGAGCTACATTGGTCTTTTTTCTAGTCCTCCGGGGTACTGAGCTCATTCCCACCTCAGGGCATTTGCACTAGCTGTTCCCTCTGCCAGGAACAGTTATACCTTAATGTGCATGTGTGGCTGCCTCCTTCATAACCTTCAGAAATCAGCTTCAATATCACCTCCTCAGAGAGACCTTTCCTAACTACCAGTTAAAAAGTAACCACAAGCCAGGCATGGTGGCCCACGCCTGTAATCCCAACACTATAGGAGGCTGAGGTGGGTAGATTACTTGAGGTCAGGAGTTCAAGACCAGCCTGGCCAAAACGGTGAAACCCCGTCTCTACTAAAAACACAAAAAAATCAGCCACCTGTGCTGGGGCGCGCCTATAATCCCAGCTACTTGGGAGGCTGAAGCAAGAGAATCACTTGAACCCATGAGGCAGAGGTTGCAGTGAGCCCGGACTGCACCACTGCCCTCCAGCCTGGGCAATAGAGTGAGACTCTGTCTCGAAAAAAAAAAGTAACCACTCAGTTGTCCTCTTCCACATCCTTCTCTTTGGCTTTTCTGCCCTGTAGGTATTACTACCTGGCAAGATTCTCCTTTGCTTATTGTCTTCCCCACTAAAATGTAAGCTCCTTGAGGGCAGGCTCCTTGCCAGGCGTTAGCACTGCTGTATCCCAGAGCCTAGAATAGACCAGGTGCTTGGCAGGTGCTCAAAACATACTGGTTGAATTTTTTGTTGAATAAGGATGGTTGGAGGTTTAGGACAGAGAGCGATGAGGATTACGGACAGGGCAGGCAAGGATGGGAGGGGCGGGACATGAGGACTGGGCAGAGCCAAGTAAGGGTCATGAATGTCAGACCAACAGGCAGGTGGGTCACTTACCCGGCAATTACTCCAGGACAACACAGCTTCACGGACCTGCCCAGCTGCCCATACTGGACCCCTGTGGAGGGTACTTCTGAGGTGAGGTTCTTCCTTTACCCCCCTCCCACTTTGTGAGAGTGACAGGTAAGAAGCAGACTGTTAAAACCTGAATCGGGGGTGGGGGGGTGCTCACTGGATCAAAGCATTATGTTATAATCTGGAGAAAGAGGTCAGAGAACAGGGTAGAGAGGGGACCCAGGTTGGATGACAGGGGCAGGGGTGGGGTCACAAGTTAAGCATGGGAAGGGGCCACAGTGACAGTGGCAAGTCACAAGTCAGAACTGGGGGGTCATAGAGCAGGATTCTTCTCACCTGGGGGGCCCCAGGCCTGGGGGCAGGGGGAGGAGGCAGACACCAGGGCTGTAGCCACGGCCACCAGGACCCTGCTCAGCCCTGAGCAACTGCTGCTCATCTGTGGGGAGAGGTAGAGTCAGAAATACCCTACCCCTGAAATGGGAGGCTAAAGCCTGGCTCCTCCTCTCCAAAACAGGCTTCCTAGGAGGAAAACTGATGTACCAAGTAGGGTAAGGCTGTGAGAAATCACTGGGGGAACTGACCTGAGATCCCCTTTCCCACTGTATAACCAGTGCTTCACATGTACACACACACACAAACACACACACACCCTCACACCCTCCATCTCAGTCCTGGGCTTAGGGCCCAGAACAAAAGCCGGAGGCAAAAGACTATGCCAGCAACTCCCCCCTCCACCACCCTTGGCACCCACCCCTGGCACCAAGCACTGGCACCAACTCAGCCACTCCAGTTAACCCCTCAGGTCCAGCTGTTGGGAATTCTGCTATTTACCCCCACCTGGTCCAGGGCTTATCACTGCCTCTGATTACCTGGGCAGACCTTATCACCCTGGGGGAAGGCTGTCATCGTGGATCTGAACCCATCCTGCACTCCCACCCTGAGGTCTATCCCTGCTCCAGCTGCCAGGCTTCTCGCCTGAACCTGGCTCCTTGCTCTGGCTACTTGGGCCACTCAGCTGGGCCTGGCTCTGACACTTTGTTGGTCTCCAGTCTGTGAAGCTGGATGGGGCTAGGGTGCAGGCTGGGGCTGTGGAGTTAAGCAGATCCAGATGCCCTGGCTGCTGCCAGAGGCTGGGGGGCGGGCGAGGAGCCAGCAGATGGAGATGGAGACAGGGTGGCGGGGAGGCAAGGGGAGGGAAGGGGATGGGAGGCTGAGAGGAACCGGGAGCCTGCAGGGACTGGGGCCTGGCATGGGGGCCACAGCACCAAGAGATACTCAGAGATCAGGACTAGGAGGTGATGTGAGCTTAGTGTGGGGAGGACTGGGTTGGGGTCAGGAGCAACTCTAACTGTGTCCATATGGTGTCAAAAAGCTAACTGTGTCTATATGGTGGGGTGGGGGATGCTAGGAGAGAGAGATTCTGGACAAGGGGGAGCAGGAGGAGGAAGGCAGTGGCGAAGTGGATGGAGAATGAAGGAGCAGGTGGGGAAAGGGCTCTGAGTACAAGACCAGAAGAGGAAGAGTGCGGACCCTTCAGGCATAGGAGTAAAGCAGAGCAGGGCCTCCACGTGTCTGTATGTCTGAGTGTATCCAGTTGGCTCACCCCTGGACCCCAGCCACACTTATCCTGCTTAGCCCCACCCTACCTTGGTGATCCCAGCAGCAGAATGTCCATGGCCTTCAGGACTTCCTCTCACCAGCTACAGACCCCGTCTCCTGCTCCACTCAGTTCTGGGACCCCAGAGCCATCCCCTCCTTCCCCTTCCCTGCCCCGCCCCCTCTAAGCCTCAGCCACCCCTAGCCAGGCCCCCTCCCCCCTCCTGCCTCCTCCCTCCTTCCCTCCCACCCCAGGCCCTAGAAAGGGAAGAGGCCTCCCCCAAGTCTGGAAAGGAAGCCACAGACACAGCCAAGGCCAGCAAGAGAGAAAGGAGGGTGGCTAATACTTATGTCCCTGTCAGTGAGAGATGCCCTGTGTTTTCACACAGCCAAACATAGTCATATTAACACATGGACTCACAAGGCACAGTTAACAAAAGGACATGCCTTTGAACACACATGGATACAATCAAATGAAAAATCAGATACAAACTCACCCTCTTTTCATTCCTCACCAAATGTTTCCTTAGGGCACAACTGGCTGTGCTTCCAGGGGAAGGGAGGCCCTAGGTTGGGGGATATAAGGAGAGGCCAGAGTCCAGTTCCCCCTCCCCTGGAAGTTCCAGCCATTTCTCACCTCCCCCTCCACTCTTTGGGCCCCAGCACCAGGAAATGCCTTTGGTCCCTTGGTGCCAGATACACAAGGCCCACAGTTACTCTCACACTCACACTCTCTCACATACGGTCACTCACATTCACACAGACACAGCCACACAGCCTCGGACTCAGACACACACATATTCACACAGTCACACACACACACAGCCCCTACCAGTGTTCACAGGACCGCCTAAAAGCAACTCATCATGGTCTAAGCCCCATCTCCCAGGGAGCTCTTAGCAGTGGCAGACCCACATCTCATCACAGGCCCCCAACTAGCCAAAGAGATCAAGATCAGCAGGGAAGGCAGGCACAGGGGCACAGGGAGAGACAGAGGGCAGGAGAGGCAGAACTGGAAATGCACTCACACAGAGAGATTTGGGGGAGAGGGGACAAAACTGAAGAGACACACAGAATTCTCTAGTAAGAGCAATAGGGAGAGAAAATGGCATGTGAGGGAAACTGAGCCAAGCAGGGAAACAGAAAATAAGGAGCAGTAGACCTAGTGCTGGGGATTCTTGAGCAGAGGAAGAAGGAGGGGAAGCCACGTGTGTTGTGGGTGTGTCTGTCCATGCTGGACACTTAAGAGAAAGGTCAGTCCCATGGGCTCCTGAAGTAGGTTCCCCAATATGTGAATACAGCTGTACTCTCACACCGTCTAAGGACCCAGGACACACACAGTCAGAAACCTCATTTTTGCTCTGCTACTGCTGAAGTCACACATTGGCACACACAAACCCAGCCACCAACTCTCACACTGGCAGACATGGCATCAAACCCCACAGAGACCTTCCCAAAACACTTTCCCTAATGTGATCACAGTCCCTCTCACACACACAACCCCATCACACCAAAAATGTGCACTGACTGATAAACACATAATCCCACACTTGCACAGCCACATGCAGACCCAGCTTCATGCACACTGACACACGCAGTCACATTAGCACCAAGTGACACTCAGAATTGCACACAATGATACTGTCACACAGACACAGCCTCACAGGCACACACACACACTGACAGTCGTCAGTCACTCCGGGCCTTTCAAATCATACATCACCCTGCCCCGCCCACTCCTGGCAAGACTGGCGTCTACACCAGGCCTTACCTTCCGCGGCCGCTGCCGCCAGCGCCCTCTGCCCTCGCCCTCTGCCCCGGCCTCTACTCCCTCCCGCCCTGCGCCCCTGCAGTGGGGGCGGCTCCGCCCAGGCACCAATGGAAGGAGAGGGGTGAAATAGGGGGGGCTCCTGGCCCATTGGAGACTCCAACTGCCAATCACCTCCACCCCCACCTCCGCCGGACACTTCCTGTCCCGTCCCGGACTGTAGAGGCCGCCTGGGACAGAGTCTTGCTGGATTCCCGGGTCTCCGCCTGAAGGCCTATCCACCCTGGGACAGCAGGACTGGAAGCAAGAGCCACTGGCCAGGTGACTGGAGAAGCTGAAGGTGCCCCGGCCTTCAGATAAGATAAGGAAGAAGGAGGGCTGTTTAGGGCAGTGGTTCTCAAACTTTGTTGGATATTGTGGTTTGAAAACTGCAAAACCCCACCCCATACCAATTAAATCAGAATCTCTGGAGGTTGGACCTAGGCATCAGTATTGTTTAAAACTTCCCAGATGATTCCAAAATGCACCCAAATCAGAGGTGTAAGGTGTGTCAAGTGTATGTGTGCCTCAAGAAACCAGCCACCCACCCAGGGTTCTCATCTGTTCCCCAGTCACCAGTAGCTCGAGGGAAATGGGTGCATACTATGTCTATCAGATCTTCCAGACCAGGGCAACACTCCTGAGTTCCAGGTACTTCCCCTCCAGAATCTCAGGGAAGAAAGACCCTGGCCTGGAAGGCAGGCAGCCAAGGTTCTTCTGGGTCAGATTCAGTCACTGTCCAGTCTTACTGTGATTTCCCCACCCACAGGCTTGGTTCCACTGGGAAAAGAATGAAGGCAGAAATCATTCTGGCCATCCCTGCATCATTCACAATCCCTGCCTTCACCTGAAAATTTGGAGGACACCAGATGACATCAGGTCTTCTGTGTTGCATGGACTGTTGTTCCCACAGTGTTGCCAGGGAAACAGGTTCAGAGGGGACAGAATAGACCCCAGGTCACTGTGAGAGCCATAGCTTCCTTCCAGGCCCTAGGGTTCCTAACTCCAGCAGTCCCTTCCCTGTCGGAGCTGTTTCTGTTTGTGCAGTGATTGGAGCACAAGGGCAGCAGAAGTATACAGTGCCCGCACATGTGAGAGTATAGAGGAGCCAAGGACACAAAGCCAAGTACACACTCCCTACATGCTCCCTACCCACCCCTTTAGCCCCTGTGGGCTGGAGCAGAGCCAGGTTGCAGCCACTCACAAAGCCAGGGTTCTGGCCAACAGCCCAGGGTTTGGCCACTGACCACTTCGACCACGATCTAGCTCACCCGCTCCGTCAAACCCTCAGGCCCAGGCTTGGGGCTGACACACTAGGGGTGGTGGCAAAGGGGACTCTAGCCTTCCCAACGCCTCAGCCACAACCAAGAACACAATTTTAAAACAGTTTCCTAAATTGGGAATGCTGTCATTACACCAAGAGTAGGAGAATCTATAGGCTAGATGTAATACTGAATATTAATTTTGTTCAGAGATTTGGGGTAGAATTTTTGCATCAAGATTTTACATATCTGTAGAAAAAGTAAAGTTGTAGCTGGAGCTATGCCTTCAGCTTTTAACCCTAGATCTCTAAAGGTTCACACTCCTCTGATATTAGAGTATGTGACTGAAGTTTGAGATGCACAATTTTATTAATGCTATATCTGCCCAAATTCCAGGACAGGATTCAAGGCCCTGTGGTCAGGCGATGGTTGCTGTCTCCCTCTCCTTCTGCCCCAGGCGGTAATGAACCTCAGGAAGTGCCCTTAGTCTCTCCGCAGCCTGGAAAAGGGACAGGGAGCAAGTAAGGAGGATAAGGGCTGGGCTGCCAAGAATGGTGGTATGGACTTGTTCTTGTTGTTGTTGTTGTTGTTTTTTGAGACAGGGTCTTGCTCTGTTGCCCAGGCTGCAATGCAGTGATGCCATGATCATGGCTCACTGCAGCCTCAAACTCCTGGGCCCAAGTAATCCTCCTATCTCAGCCTCCCAGGTAACTGGGACCACAGTATATGCCACCAGCCTGGGTAACTTTTAAAAATTTTTTTGTAGAGACAGGGTCTTCCTATGTTGCTAGGCTTCTGGGCTCAAGCAATCCTCCCATCTTGACCTCCCAAAGTGCCGGGATTAAGGCATGAGCCAAAGCACCTAGTCGGTGTTATGGAGTTCTGGGTACTCAGGAAACACTTCACTGGATATTATAGTTTGAAATGTGAATATGAAATATGAATCCCACAGGCCCACTCCCAGATTGGGAGGCTGGTGATAAGGACTGCTGGAGCCACCAGGGAATGAAAGAGTTGAGCAGCTCCTCAGTCCCAAGGAATGCCCAGGATGTTATGGGAGTTATCAGGGTCATGACTGTTGGGATCCCTAGAGAAAGGAGAAGAGAAAGGGAACCTAAGGACCATATCCTCCTTCCAGGCCCTAGGGCTCCTAACTTTGGCAGTCCCTTCCCTGCCAGAGCTGTTTTCTGCCTTGTGCAATGATTGGAGCGCAAGGGCAACAGAAGTATCTAGTGCCTACACATACTGTATGTAAGCATCTGGAGAAGCCAGACTGCTCTGAGTCCTGACCTGCTCAGGGGTGAGGTCCCTCTGAGCCTGAGCAAGCATTTCGTAGCCAACCATGAATTTCCGGACAGTGGCAGAGCGCAGGAGCGGAGGGTAGTAATGAGCGTGCAGCTGCCAGTGCTCCCAGTTGGCCCCGGCTTCTGATCCTGTGGGAGCCCCTGACAGAAAGAAGAGAGAGAGTTGGGGGAGAGAGGCTTTTTTCAGTTCTCCAGCTTAGCCCCTAAGCCCAAACCCAGCCAGGTACCTGAAAACCACATCTCCCAGGATCCCCTGCCTGAGAAGAGCTGGCAGGAAATTAGAAAGCACATTGGAGACACAGTTTCACCAAGTTTGCTGCTCCAACCTCAGTCCCAGCATCTCTGCTCTGGCCACTTCCCCCAGCAACTGTTTCAAGTCTCGCTCATTTGGGAATGTAGTTCACTAAGCCAGGCCCCAGGAGCCCAAAAATGGTGTTGGGACTAGATATAGGTATTTGAAAAGCCTCACCATGCCAGCCCATGGAGTAGGGAAAGGACGTCTCAAATAGGTTGTCATACTTGGTCAAGAGCTTCTTCATGATGGAGGCTAGATCTGGAATCAGAGCCTGACTCTCAGCCTGGGGTCTAGATGCTGACCCTACCGGGAGCAACCCCCACCCAGTGCCTAGCCCCAGGGTCCTAGTTGGGAGACTGACCATCACGCTCTGCAGGGGTCAGCTCAGGTAGCCGTCGCACATGCCGACGGGGCAGCAGCAGTGTCTGGTAGGGCCACGTTGCCCAGAAGGGGACCAGCACTAACCAGTGCTCACTGGTTAGGACCAGACGTTCCTAAGCAGACACAATGGATAGGAAGTCACCAAGGTGACATAGGGACCAGGGTGGGGTCAGCAAATAGGCAGGGGAAGCAGAAGAAAAGAATGTGCTCAGGATCTGATGGCTTCTCACCACCTCCACCATTAACCACCTGAGTCTAAGTCACCATCCTCTTTTCTTCACATTACTGGATTATTGCTAAGGCCTCCTAGCAAGTCTTTCTGCTAGTTCCCCTCTAGCTTTCTTCTTTACACACCTCTCTCGCGTGGGGTAAGAAAGCTAGGGACTCCTTGGGGACAGAGGGCTTGGCTCTCTCCCACCTTCCTGAGTAGCTCCTGGCGGCTATACTCCAGTAGCAGGGGCTCTCCATGCTGACTCTTATAGGCCTGCTGAGATCGCTCCTCACGCTGGGCAATATCTGGCAGGAAACTGCTGGCCCACACCTGTCAGGGGGCAAAAGCAGAGAAGAGCAGGCAGTTCCTTTACCTCCAAGCCTCCACGTCATTTGCATATATCCTTTGTCCTGTCCACAGTGCTGGCACAGACTCAGCCAAGAAACCAACCAGAGCCCCTGACACCCTTACCTGGCAGTGGGGGTGGGGGTTGGAACAGCCCATCATGGCGCCTTTGTTTTCAAAGATCTATCAGGTAGGGATAGGGAGCTTTGTTAGCCAAAAGACACCAAGTCAGCCCCCTCCTGACCACACCCTGTGGAAACAAATGTTACTCCCCAGAACCAAAGTTTCATCACCCCCTACCTGCCCATCCAGGGGAAGGGGCAACCTTACAAACCTGCACCCAAGGGTACTGGGCACCCAGCTCCTCTGTGACTGAGGCCCATGCATCGACAACAGCCCGGATCTCAGGGACCGACATGAGTGGCAGCGTCACATCCGACCAGGGGTGGAAGCACATGACCTTACTAGGTGGTGAGGGGGAAAAAGAAAACCGAGAGGTAGGGCTTGGCTGTGCTATGGGCAGGGCCCAACCCCAATGCTGAGTCTCCAACCCTGGTTTGAAAGTTATAAGAGGGGAAATCCATAGTTACCAGACTCCTCGAGCAGCCTTTGCTTGGAAAAGGGGATGATCGCTGGGTCCTGAGATAAAGGAGCATCACTCTCTGCAGCAGAAGACCCCCAAGAGGTCTAGCTGCCCTCCTCCCAACAGCAGTTGGAGCCAGGTTACCTGGACTGGGGGCATCAGGCTGCAGAGCTGGGAAGTCGTTGTCAAACAGGAAGGTGCTATTGTAGTGGGGATTCACCTACTGACAAAGATGGGCTAGAAGCATTCACCGCCCCATACCACCAGTTACCTGATGGGCTTCAAAGACTGAACAGGCTACAAGGGAGTAGGGAAGGCCCACTCTAGGAGACAAAAAGGCTTGATGGGATAGGACCCAGAAGGAGGTTCACTGTCCCTGTGGGTGGAGGATAGCTCTAAGGAGGGAACTAATCCCTGTGGCCCAGCCTGCAGATGCAGGGCTTTACAGGCTTACCTCTCCATTGGCTCGGGTGGCCCCGGGACACAGAGGGTTGAGGGGGTCATGGCGGGGCACTGTCTTCAGAAGCTGGGGTTCCACTTGACCCTGCCAGGGCCGCTTCATGCGGTGAGCAGACACCAGCACCCACTCATCCTGCAGCGGGTTGTAGCGGATATGCTGATGGTCTGGGGGCACACAGTCAAGATCAGTCCGCAAAGCTCTCTTATTTATTTATTTATTTATTTATTGAGACGAAGTCTCACTCTGTTGCCCAGGCTGGAGTGCAGTGGCTTGATCTCGGCCCACTGCAACCTCCACCTCCCAGGTTCAAGCGATTCTCCTGCCTCAACCTCCCGAGTAGCTGAGACTACAGATACGTGCCACCACACCCGCCTAATTTTTGTATTTCTTTAGTAGAGACAGGGTTTCACCATATTGGCCAGGCTGCTCTCGAACTCCTGACCCCGTGATCCGCCCGCCTCGGCCTTCTAAAGTGCTGGGATTACAGGCGTGAGCCACCGCGCCCGGCCGCAAAGCTCTCTAGCTCCCTCTCTCCTGGGTCTCACCCACCAGCAGGCCCAAGCTCGGGAGCGCCCTCTCCGCCCTGTCCCGCTCAAGAGCTAGAGGCCTAGGATTGGACCTTCCCAGCGCCAACTGGCCTGCAGCCTGTACACTGGCGACTGTTCGCCTTGTCTGTCTGGCTCGGAATGAGCGTTCCAACCTTCGGTGGGGGCAAGAACTTCCTAAAGAAGCAGAGGGCTAGGCTCTGCGCCCTAACGAGTCCCGGCCGCGGTACGGTTACCGCTTGCTCGGAAGGTTGCTGCTGCGGTGTCCGCCTCTGACGCCTGCTGGCGCTGCTCAGGACCGGTTCCGCTGCGCGACATGAGGACACCGGGGGATCCGCTGGAAAGTCTGCAGGGCGGTGTCTTACCCTTCGCTTTCTCCGTCTCTACCGCCCCGCCCCGCACCGCCCCCGATGATTGGCTAGCCGCCAGCACGTGACTAACTGAGTGGGCTGCCGGGCCACCTGGGGGCGGGGCTCAGAGCAACTCTGAACCCCGGGGGACGGCATTGACGATCCCACTCCACCCAGTGCTGGAGCCGCTACACTGGAAGAATCTCTGTGAAAGCTGCTTACTGCAGAATCCTTGGGCTCCAGGACGCCTACAGGACTTTCTTGCTGCAGTAATTCATTTGATCTTTCATTCAGCAAATATTTACTGAGCATCTACCATGTGCTAGGCACCTATTGACTCTGCCCTGCCTGAGCTTACCCTGGAGTAAGGATATTACCAAGCACCTCAGTCACCTGTTCAGTGGCTGTA